TGAAGTCTAAGTCAAGAGATCAGAGGAAGCTTGGGAAATCTAATTAGTATGAGGATATTTACAAAGCATTTTTTTTAACCAATATTTTTTGAATATGGCAGAAATACAAACATTTTCTGAGTGAAGGAATCACCAAAGTTATTACACATTATCCTGAGAGAGACGTGAATGTTTGTACCTAATTGCATAGAAACAACCCCAGATAGTAAGACGAAACACAAAATGTGTTTGGCTCTAGGCAAGTCGTGGCCCACCTTCATCAGCAGACTTCGTTTTTCTGGCGAGCAAACAGTGCTTTATACACTCTTATGGCAGTCTTTTTTAATAATTTATTTGTTGTTCTTGTGATGTCAGATAGGACCAAAGTGTGCGTCAAAGAGCTGACCATCACAATAATAGAAAAACCATTGTTAATATATCTCATCTATAGATGGACTGTGTTTTCAGTCTCACATATTTAATATAAGAGGATCCTACAGCTTTATGAGACCTTCATATTCTCCTCCCACACTGGACAGTCCAGCTGGTAAAGGCTGTGCAACTTTCCATTTCTGTCCAAGTTAAGAAATATTGTGGATAAGGCAGATGGCAGGAAAAACAAAACATTTCTCACTTGGACATCATACATAAATCAGTGTGAGAAAGAGGCAACAACATACTTTGTGGACTAACAGAATTACTAATTTCTCATTTTTTGATGAGTGCATATGTCAGTTGAATGAGTTTGACCACTAACTACTTGTTGTGTTTCTGGATCAATGCTTATAGCTAAAATTCCGGTTCAGAATTGTAATTGTCTTTTCATTTGCTTTGCAATCAAAAAGTGTTGAATTCCATTAAACGTGATATCTTCAGATTGCCTAAGCCTTGCTTCCTCTCTGAGCATAATGTCGGAGTAAAATGGTGACTGTGTGAATATGTTGAATGAGAGATCTCGCTTGAACCTATGAATGCTATTTATGAGTACAGAAATTGTCAACAAGAAACAAACAAATCGCTTGTAATTTAAGGATAATAATTGCCACCTGCATTTACACGGCCACTGGATCTGTTAAATATCTTCTGATATCCCACGTGGAGAGGGTCTACGAAGAGATGTAAGCAGACATCCACACTGGTCGCGCTGCATTACACATGCTGGCCTGCTGTACTCATAATCTCCATGCCATCTGGTTGGGAACCTCACTGTCCCTCCTGCACCTCTAGCACATTAGTATTCCTCTCACACTGAGCGAGGGAGACGTGTGTGTGTTAGCTTGTGTGACATTCCTGGGAAACAAAAAAAGAGGTGACACCTGTGAGGATTAAGCAAACGACTACGAAGCCCGCCTCCCCACAAACCTGGCTCATTCAGGTAATGAGAGCACTTAGTTTTTTAATTGTCATTTTTGTCCTTGCTTGTGCAAATCCTGCCAACAAATGGACCTACAATGAAGACTTTAAGCCTTTTTTGTATTGACATTGACATAAAAGCATAAATCTTCTAATGTTCTTGAAAATATTTTGTCTGTCAGAAATGTAATCCCTACTGAAGGCCAATAATTAGCAGAAACAATGTGACATCAAAGTCACATTTTTAATTGACTAAACCGTGGCTGTAGCTCAATGAGTGTGCTTCTTTGTCTTTATTACAGTAAGTTCAGCAAGTCAGTACTTTCAGGTGGATCTTTGTTTCCTTGACTCCCTTTTTTTTTGGTCTCAGCTGAAGAATCCAGTCACTAAACAGCGAGAGTGGGACTCTTTGGAGCAGTGCTTGAAACGGTATTTCCAGTGTTTAGAGCTCACTGTGATCAAAGACTGATCCCTTCACTTTCACACAGTTTCTCATTAGTGCTACGCTACGAAGAGACTGCTCTGGTAGGGATGTGTAGTAGTAGCATTGTTTCCAAGTTTCAAACCTCTACTGCAAAACAGGGCAGTTTAGGTTAATGTTACATAATGAATGGTGTGTTGTTACACGTAAGATCAGTTTACAGGACCAGTCTATCCTGCATGTAAATTGTTTGACCACTAGGGGCAGTGAGAACACAATTTCTATACAGAATCACTTTTAATTTGTAATGCTAACACTGTTCTTTTTTTAAACATGTAACTACTGTTGAGCAACATGTTAACCATTCTGAAATGTTTTAATGTCCATCCGATGAATTTAAGTGTAATATTATTCTTATTTGAGCTCGTTTCATTCCTCTGCAGCTCTTAAGGGATATCTCTGGCTCTTAAGACGCTAAATGTTCCTCTGTGTTTAAAAGCTAGTCTTCCAGCATCTTTGTGCCTTTTTGTGCTCAGCGGGAAGTGTTCAGTGGAAATCAGCTGCATGCTGTGACAGACAACGATTCCATGAGAGCAGGTTTGAATGGACAGCAAAACAATGAGCAGAATCCTAACGTATCGCTCTGCATGTTCATATTTGGCGAGAAAGCTGGTCAATCATTTGTGCGTACGCATGGTCTGAGGAAGTTCTAACTTTGTTCGCAGAGTAAGAATAAATTCAAGTAAAAAGATATTGATGAATCTCACATTTGTGCGGCAAAAAATTCTTCCGAATGGATTAAGAACAGATTTGTCTGACACGTTTGTGAATGAGGCCCAGTGTCTTCACATGCATTGTGTTTGTGTCCTGTGGTATATAAACAATATCTTATGTTTTAATTTAAATTAAAAAAAAGTTACTAAAATGTAATTCATTTGTAGCAACCAAATTAAATTCATCATACAATCCAAAGGGCAGTGTATATTATGAGTTTTTAATTTAAAACTGCAGTAAAAGTAATCAGGGTTATTGCTGTGTGTCAAAACATGAACCTGCCATTATTCAGTATTTTTAGACATTTTTTTTTTTTCAGAAAATGTGGACCGAATACTTGTTCCAAAATAAATTGGCAATGGATATGAGATCATTCAAAAAGAATTCTAGTTTTCTCTTGTGATTTCAGTTTTCCCATTCTGTCTCTCATAATAAAATGATTTTGTATCCTTTGAGATGAGAATTATTTGGTATGTGGAGCTTATCACACGTCACTACACATAGGCTTATGGGCATCTGGAACAGCCAGTTTTCCAAATATGTGCATTAAACTCCTAAATAATATGTAGAGAAAGATAGAGATGGGATACCTTAATAATGTGGTGGTTAGTTGATGGGACTTACAGCTGTCCATCATCTTTAGTGTGATATAGGTTAGACCAGGCTGCTCTGAAAGGCAAAGAATGTTTATCATATACATCCATTTCATACCCTTAATAGAAGTCACTACGTTCAGTATCTTCTCACTCAGTTTGCACTCCTCTGAAGTTCACCACCCTCCCCTTATGCTATATTCTGTGAAAATTCAGTGAAAGTGCTGAATTCTGTCTCATGACAGTCTTCGTATGTATTTATTTATTATGTATTCATGCTAATTTTATCTTCCACTTGCAGCTGTCTATGCTCAATTTCCCCTCGGGGATCAATGAAGTTGGTTTAATCTTCACACAAACCCTCTTATAGACTCAAGATACTTTTATTCTGCAGAGCAGTGATGAAGACATCCCTGTAAAACCCATTTTCAAGTCGGGAACAACTTACCTTGCCAGCAGACTCTTGCAAAACTAAAAGGGAGGGAAACTCAGACTGAATTTGACGTAAATGAGGCATAAATAAAGAATCGTACTAGGCTTGTATGCTGATGTGCTTCCTTTCCATCATAAACCTTATGGCCATTGTTATAATTCAAAACAGGGAAGTTGATCTGCGTTTGTGTTTATAGCCTGTGGATACAGAATAAAGTGCGTCATGGGAAATAACGAGTTTAGTCTGAAATACCTTTTTTCTTTGCATGGAGTGTTCAACAAAGATTCAACAATTATCCTGTGCTCATTTTCTACTTTCATGCTGGTATGTGGGAAGAAACTATGCTTAAGAGTTAAGAGAAATTTCAGGGGAGTATACTCTGTCCTCATACACACCTGCAGAGCTACTTCCTGTAATTGAAACAAAATAATGAGCTGTACTTAATTAATGAAGCTGTTTGGAGGGTTGAGGTTTGGGTGACGGCCAAACAGGTGCCTAAGTAAATCCAGGCTGAAAAAAGGAAGAGCATACCACAGGTGTCTGAAGCCATGGAGATAAAAGCAAACTCTGTCCTGACCTTGGCATATATTCTTCATTAGATCCCATATCTGTGTAATTAAAACTACGGATGTTACTTTTTTTTTTTTTTTTTGGGCTTTCTGATACCTGGTATCTGACTTAGCCGTTACCAAAGTACCACACCAATACCAGCATGAGACGTAAGATGACTGGCTTTATACTATTAACCCTGTATGGATGTGCTATAGGCATAGAGATACGAACGACAGTGACCTTTTTAGTAAGCTTAGTATTAGAGAAGACTAGGTAAACATTTAGGAATAAACCATTTTTTATAAGACTTGTTTGCTACATGTTTCATTTGTTTCTACTTAAGTGCATTGGAGAAACACATTTTTAGCTGCTTTATTCAGCGTTCCTAATCAATGCTTTTTAACTGGTTCAGTTGTATTTTTTACAGTGAGGGAGAGGGGGGTTGGGGCGTGGCAGATTATTGACTAAAAAGCAAGCCGAGTGCTTGAAAAAAGGCTGGGCTAACATTAGCAATGGTTAGGCTAGCAGCCCCTCAGGCCTGCTGTGTTAGTAGAAGTGTCAGAAAGACAAAGACTTTTACAAATGAAACTGCTTTATTTTATGTAGCCTTGACAACCACTAAACGCTCTGTTAGATCTGCACTGTTGTTTGCTATCACAGTGCAATAAATAAACGTTAGATCAGTTCTTCTCTGCAAGTCGAAATCAGAAGTAACCGTTGGCAGTCATGAAAAACACTTGGTGGCAGTAATGCAGAGATCTCTGTGTGGTCGTCTGTTAACCATCGACAAAGAATGTGTTGGGTGAAATTAGTTGATTGTTAGTTATTGACTGGAGTAATCGCAGATATCCAATCCCTCATTTTTGTCTGTGTCAGATCAATAACTGGTATTAGCTTCAGATCAACTCTATTTATTTTACAAACCTTAAGATCAGAGTGAAGACAGATTAAGATGAACAAAGCCCTTCATTAACACTGTTATCTTAGTCTTTATTTTGTCACAATTGTAGTCAAATATATATACGTCTATATGACATATATTATATGACATATATAATTTCATTTCTTTACAATAGAGAAACAACATAGAGATGACACACTATTTTGGTTTCTAAGTAGAAGCTCCTTTTAAATAGTGGCATTTTTTCAATACACTGTTTAAGTCAAGCTCCCACTCCAGTCACGGTTTTTGTTTTTCCTTATTGAGTCACATTTATTCACAATGTGTGTTTGTTTGTCTCTTTATCTTATAATTGGACGTCCTTTGCTGTGTCAATATTTTTTTTCCTCAGCAGTTCAATCTGTTCGCGTTCCTTCGCAAAAAAAAAAAAAAAAAAAAATCGACGGCCATCTGTTATTGGTCCGTGTGGCCGCCCAGATGGTCCCACCTGCTAAACCATCCAGCGAAGGTATACAGTTATTGGAAACACTGTCTTTGAAGCTTTACACATTTAATCCAATCAGCTTGCAGACGGCTTGGCATTAGCGTTTCCCGCTCCTCTGCAGCTGGGTCCTTTGGTGGCCAAGGAGCAGTTTGCGCCTCCAAACACGAGGGATGCCTGACCTTGGCACTGTCCCTGTGCTTCTCTTTGGCCTGCTGCCTTCAAACCTCTGCTTCCGCCGCCTGTGTGTAGAACTCTGGCTGGATTTTGGACACGTCTGCCTTCCCGAGCCTCAAGAGTGTCTGTGCCACCGCGTGGGATCTCACTGTGAGATCCCGACATTTTCACCGGGATGGAAAGGCTTCTCTGTTTTAATTCCTGTGCAAGTTCCACTGTAATTTCAAAGGAGCAGTGTGTGAGATTCTTCTCTGACCCCAGTGTAACAGGGGTGTTTGGTTCCAACACAGTCCCACAGGTAGGTGAAGGAACGTTGCCAACATGCGTCGTCTTCCCATCCAGCACCGGGTGCCACTTAAGAAGCCCTACTTGGTTGTGGTTGCTCATGTCTGCATTTCCCGCCTCGAGGTCGCACGCTTGCAGCGAGGGGATGATGGGCACGGAGCGGGTGCGAAGGGAGGCTGGGAGGAAGGCTGTTCCCTTATCCAGGCGGGTGCAGGGGACCTCGGTCCATCCTTTTCTGGCTGCGAAGTGAGAGAGCGGGGTCCTGTTGAGGAGGGCGCCGACTCTTCCGGCGGCCGAATCACACCTTCAGGCAGCAGAAAAGAACAGAAATGAGTGAGAATGAAGCCAGTTACACTGTGACCTTTTCTTTCTAGACACCTATTTCCTAAGAGAAAGAGAAGACAGAATATATCTGTTTTTACAATTTCATTTCCCATCACCCCCCCCCCCCCCCCCCCCACCACCACCACCACCACCACCACCACCAAAGAAAATCTTCTTGTACAGCAAAATTATTATCATTAGTTATTGTTTTTTCATAATCGGGTGTAATTATTTGTAATCCTTGGCATGTGCAGTTCCCATTGTTCCTGCGTGATTGTTTAACTGAAAAATCCCTGTGCTCATGTCTGCTTTGTTGAGATTAAGGCGTTAGCTACACAGCTGCTGGATTCCTGACCCTGGCCTGTGTGGAATAATTTACCTCCATGAACACGTACGCTCTCACATGAATGCACTAATCTTCACAGAATATGTCTCCTTTGAGGGGGCTTTTAATGTGAAATCTGGGTTTAATGTGCTGCACATCCTGTTTGCGTGTTGCATGTTCATCTTGAATGATTAAAGAATTAGAAGCAGTTCAGCTGACATGATATAAGCACACAGATAATAGAGCATAGCAGGGAAACTCATGCAGAGTCAAGTGGGTAAGTTTGTATACATGTCAAATGTACTCAAGAGTTAATATTGTTACTAAAGACTCACTTCACATTTACTATCATCCCCGGCACAGCATTAGGAGACAGCCAATGTTATTGTCAGCCCTTCTGAGACTGTTTGTAGCATAACCAAGTTTAAATAATTGAATTACTTTCCTACTCCTCCCTTGGTATTAGGAGGGCGAACGCAAGCTGGAGGTAAATCCGGCAGATCAAAAACATATCTAAAAATAACTCCCACGGCAAATTTGCCTTCAATTCGGTCCGTATCTGCGATGGGTAAATATCAGTTTTGACACTGGATAATGAAACTGACAATGCTCTGCGGGGATTTGTTGTCATAAAAATGGAAAACATGGATTGGTACTTTTGTTTGTTTGCTGTTCTCAACTCTTTTTTTCACACCTCCTTCACGTTGCACTCTGAATGCCTCCATCTTTTTCCTCCGATGCACTGTCATTGTCTCTGCACAATCTGCCCTCCTTTCCTCACTTTCCCCCCTTTCTTTCTCGCTCTCTCTCCTTCCCCAGCCGTTTCAAGAGATGAGAGGGTGTACCCATGGCAACAAGGGAAAGGTTGGGGCTGGAGAAAGAGAAGGAGGAGGAGAAGGAGGAGGGATATGGGGGTGCAAAGGCTTGGTTGCTTGTTGTTGTATGGCTCGTAAGTGAATGAAAAATACGTAATTTCAACCTCCTGAAGTCCGGCGGAATACGCAGACTGATAAATCTGCGAGGGAATAATCAAAGCCTAATAGGATCGAAATTGTTTAACTGAAAAAATGCAATTTCATCCCCAAGAAGACGATAAACCCTCTTATAAGCTTTCCCTCTAAACAACATTGTGCTGGATTTAATTGCCTATAGCAGATTTTTGAGATTTAAAAAAAGGAATTCTCATATGTTTAGTTCTAAGTTTGTTTGTTTATTTTTCTGTGTGTGTTTATTTTTCTGTGTGTGTGTGTGTGTGTGTGTGTGTGTGTGTGTGTGTGAGCATTTGGGCACATTTATGAGTCTGCACATGTCTGTGTTTGTGTGTGAGCGAGTTCAGAGGGAAGCTGTTATGCTCCAGGAGGATCTCAAGCATTTGAAAGAAGTGCTGAGCTCCACGGAGCTTTGTTTAAAAATGTAAATTATGGAAATAGGTCACATAAAGAGTTTGGCAGCTCACAGTGTATCTTACAAGTCACTGTTACGCACAATCAGGTTGGCATGCTAATAGGAACATTGCTCGGCACTTCTAAGTGCCTTGAATGCACGGGGGACACTGCTGCTTTAATGACAGGCGTTTTTGATAACAGTGCCATCGCTCAAGTTGCACACACTGACAGCAAATGAGGCTGTTTCTGAGTCATCAGCTAAGTAGGGCTACATAACTCAGGCTTAAAGATGCTTTTTTCTATAGCTGTAAATATAACCTAAAATAATTCAGCGCTCACAGTGGTTCTTGTTGAAGAGAAAATGAAAGTGGAACACCTTGACTTTTTATTCTTCCAAGGAAAACAAGCTCCACAATAAACATAGTTTTACTTAAACTATAGCATAAAATTAATCAAAATATAATCTGGCTTCAAAGTAATGTTTGACTTTTTATTTCTGGTGCTTATTTTGTCTAATTTTCTGATTTTTATTCATTGATTTCAAACATGAACTTGCTTTACTTTTGTAAATTCTGGAACATCACTATCTACTGCTTATTTGTATAAAAAGCTGATCTAAACTGCTTTGTTTCTGCCCTGATCATCACAAGAGCAAATAAACATTCTTCTTGGAGTACAAACATGTCAGAGAGGATTTCACATCAGGCTACGTTTTTTCTGATACAATGCCAGCGAGGATCATCAGACTGAACTTATGAAAGGTGTAAGTTATTTTAAGCCCACAGATCACCAACTGGTGAGAGGTGGCTCTTGCCAAAAGTCCTCCCTGCTTTTAAAGCCTCCTGAAACAGCGCCAGAAGCTGTGCTTCCTTCTGATAGCCGTGAAAATAGGGCAAGTCGCTGTCCTCGCTCGACATCAGGATGAGCATGAGGAGAATTCCAGATGTGTAAAAAGGCCTGAAATTAATCCTGTTCAATTTGTGCTCTTGTTTCAGAAGGATAGTTCACCCAATATGGCTCCATTTTGAGCTTGTTAATGACATTAAATGAATTATTTAGTGGCTACATAAACCATGAGGATTCCATGTAATGCCTGAGAATCATCCAGATGCCTTTCTGGACTGTTGAATTTCATGTGAACTTCATCACGTGATAATTAGCTTTAAGGCTGTCGTCCTACTTTTATCCCTAAAAAAAGCATGCATGTTAAACACAGTTTCATTCACAGCAACAGCCCAGTGGCGAGAGTAGGGAAGATTACACACAGACACGTACTCGGACTTCCCCAGCACCAAGATACTGCTGAGTAGTTGAGATCAAGTGTGTTTTCCAAATTAATTGTGACAGTCTCAGTTGAAGCAGGGCACGGCAGATCTCATTTATTTCCACGGATCAGATTTCGTAAGCCGGTTCATGGATTTGAACTGAGAGCGTTTCGGTCATAAACTCATTTCCCCCCCGAAATTATCCCTCTGCCACTCCGACTTAACCTCAGTAAGTCCGGGGGTCTCTATCACTGATGTGGTTATTTGACCTCAGGGAAGAGACAGTGAAAGAGATTTTTTTTTTGTCTTTGAGGATCAAGCAATCTTTAAAAACAAAATAAAAGACCTTCAAAAAGTTTAACCTTCTAATGGACTCCATGTCTGTAGAATCATCCTCCTGCAAGTGTTTGTAGATGTGGCTGCTGGCTCTGGTTCCCTCAATGAGGTTTGTTGTAAATTTATGTTTTCCTCTTGAAACAGGCGGGGTCCTGAAGTAGTTAGTCTCTCTCCGTCGTTGGGCAGGACTTAGAGAAAGGGAACTGCTCCTGAAACAAGCAGGGAAACATTTAAGAGTTAACACACAGCTTTACAAAAGCACTCAATAATTCATTCATTCTGTCAGATGGTGTTTTAATCACCTGTGTTCATTAATGTAAAATAACTGGAATAGCCTGACCTGTAAGGTTCGCGTTTAAGTGGAAAATACCATTATATTCCACTTTCAATTCACCCTGCGCAGAAATTGTCTTTTTATGGCTAGGTATGTGACAGAGTTATCAGATCAGTGAGTTTTAGTATATTGATGATACACTTAATCATTTCTAGGTTCACCATTAAATACAAGACCTAGGGCTGTCAAATGATTACATTTTTTAATCCTGATTAAACACGGAAATGTAATAATTGATCATGATTACATGTTTAAAATCAGATGTTTGATCAGGTGTTTGAAATTTCATTATTTTGTATTTCAAACGTTTTGTATGCTTTTATTTTGAAAGACAACAAGGAACTTGTGGTAGACTCAAGGTTACAACAATAACTTCACCACAAAAAAATGGAAGGTGTTACGGATCGAGAGGTAAATGGAAACATCTATAGACAGAAAAAAAGTGAAATGTTTGATGTCACGATGTCACATGGTATGATGTTACGAATGAATCGTCAACTGATGCAGGAGTTTTTGAGCTTGGAGGGTTTAAAAGTGAAATGAGCCATTCAAAGGCACAGAGGTGTCATTCTTTTCCATCACTGTGTCTAATGGAGAGGGCTGCTGTCAGCGGGGTTGCTTATATTGGCTACGGTGCTCCTGAAGGGACAAAATAGCACGCAATCAATGGGATAAAAATAATGTACACCTTAATTTCCTCAGTTATAATACAATCTCAGAAGCACACATGTCCAACTTATTGATTTAAAGGAGAAGTGGGAGGATTACAGAGTATGACACATTCTCTGGGGAGCAGGAATGACAAACATTTCCCACCATTGATCCATGAGCCTTTCATAACAAGTGGAAGACATGTAAAACACTGCTTAAAATAGTGTTTTTGTGAACCTTAGAATGTGCCCCGTATATTTAAAGCCAGAGAGCATTTGTTTATGACTGTATGTCTGTATAAAGGCATCTCTCTTACACCCACATGGAACTGAACAGTATATATATTGACATCCTGCTGCAGTGAAAGATTGAAGCAGCAGTCTTTAGAAACCGTGCTTCCTGCCCAGGCGTACTGTTTTTAAATTGTTCAGTGAGCAGTAGGTGGTCGACTTCAAAGCAGATCCCCGCACATCTGCTGCAATAAAGCAATGACATGAAATTTGAATCAAAGTTATACTGAACTATATCACAAGCTGCCGTGCGAGTATATCATAGGAGAACAAACAGGTCCCGCAGCACGGCGTACCATGAAACACAGAAAATAATTTTCTGTTTATTTGAAGACATCAAACAATCTGCGCTGATCTGTGGCTCCTTCTTTGATCACCTGCTTCATTTTCCTTTGTGAGCAATAGGTCAATCAATTGTGCTCGAGTTACTGAACCACAAAAAACAACTAGGCTTCATCTTATTTACGCTGGGCGAAAAAAACGGATGTGATGAAGCACAAATCAGTGACAAACATTCCTCCAGCTTGATTTAGGCTCTTGATTAATTTGCAGCAGCCGCAGAAAACGAAAAATAGTGTTTGAATGAAGTGTTGGACTTTGTTTAATTAATAATCAAGCTTTTAAACTTCAAGAATTTCTGGCTGAATTTTCTCATTCATATTAATTCATCCAGTACACTAAAAAGTGACGGTGACAGCTTGTTAGTCATAGCTGACTGAAACACAATGTTAAAATGTTTTTAACTACTATAATTTGAAAAGTCCCTGGCTGCGGAACAATGAGCATAACTAATGTTGGTGCTGGTCTTCATTAGCTTTTATATCGACTGATGTTGTAAAAAGTTTGTATGAATAAGGCTGAATAATGTCAGTTTGGATGTTTATGAGCGCTCCGATTTCTTTTATAAGGATTAACTATAAGATGGAAAAAATGAAAACCAGTTTTTAAAAACATTCACCAAGCTGTTTTAATTTTTGAATGTTAAATGTTAAAGGTCAATGCTGAAAGGCAGCTGCTTATCTGTATGCTTCTTCAGTTAAAGAAAAAACACAGCCCTCTGCAGTTAAATGGATAACCCTGTCTGTGATCAAACACATATTTTGATATTTCTGCCCTTTTGGACATGATGGAGGGATAAACGGAAGAGATTTGAAGAAAGAGGGCGATACAAAGTGACACATGACCTAAGTTGAGTTTAAACAGAGTGTCATATGAACAAAGCAAACATTATTTTCTACAGTGGTGTCCTGATACTCTACACAGTAAATCTATTTTATTCATCCACTCAGCATGTGTAAAACTCATGCTCCCTGACTGGATGTGAACATATTGATTAGTCTGTTATACTACAATTTTCTCATAATCCAAACATTACAATGGGTCTCTGTGATTGATCAAATTTCACTATAACAGAAATGACTATAACTGCTGACAACGACTGCTGAATGTATCACATTGACTTGGACTGTGTTTTTTTTCCCTTTCAGATTTTGCTGGCAAAGCAGCTCAGAAATATGCTTCAGAAGGAACAGAGGGTGCTGTTCTGGTCAGTTAATTCACAATGTTTGAGAAGTGGAAGTAAAAGGGTTCAAAATGATTGATTTGTTCATTTTCCCCACTGACAGCTGTACAACGAGCAACATAAAGAGAAGGTTAGCATGTCAAATCCAAAAATGCTAGCCTCGTGGATCTGGTCTAAAATAGCCATTCTCAACAATGGACGGATCGATGTGACATCTGGTACAGACATTTGCGTGTACCTCAAGAAAAGTTCCTATACATCTGGTGAAGTGCTTTTATGGACGCTATTACATGAAACTTTTTATTTATTGTCATTTATTCACAAATATTTGCAAAAAATGACTCCCATCAGCCTTATATGAGCTTAGTGCGGCGAGCCTTATGCAAAAGTTAGCATGCTAGGAAAAAAAAAAGAAGATACAATTTATTAATCCCTCAAGGGGAAATTCAATTTTACACTCTACTGTCGTACATGCTACACACACAAAGGCTGAAATACACACTGGACGCATTGGACAAACAGGATCCTATGGACATGCACCAATAGAGAGATGTCAGAGTGAGGAGGCTGCCCACAGGGCGCGCTGCTGAGCTAGTTGGGGTGGGGGTTGCTCAAGGGCACCTAAGCAGTGCTCTCGTTCTCTGGAAGTGAACTGGCACCTCTCCAGCTACTAGACCAAAGTCCCCACAGACTGAGCTACTGCCGCCTCAAGATAATGAACATTCAACTTTCTAGCATTTTCTGTTGTTGGCAACTGAGCTAAAACCAAAGCTGTGCATGGGATCGGACTAAAGTCTGTGCTAAGATACATTAAATGTCGGTGAACGACTGTGAACCTCAAACTTGCTAAACGTCAGCATTTGTCACTGTGAACATGTTAGAGCCTTTAGATTTCATCCAGCTCAAAACAAAGCTATACAGCTACAGACTGATGTCTATGATAATAAACAGTGATAGCTAATACTGATGAATTGTTCAACAATAAATTAGCTTAGCGTCAGCATGTTAGCATTCTCATTGTGAGGCAGGTGTGCTAACGGCCGCATTTAGCTCGAAACATTGCTGTGCATATATTTACAGACTAATGCTGCAGGCATTGGAAGACCGGGCATGGCTAATGGTGATAAATAGAAGTGGACACAAAACTAGCTAAACATTGTCATTGTGAACACAGGGCCAGCAACTAAATTACCCTGGCTGTTAAACAATAAACATGGCTAATGTTGGTGGACATAAAAGTTGCTATACATCAGAAATACATTGTCATTGTAAGCATGTTAGCGTTCTGAAATAAGCATCCACTTCAAAACCAGCTGTTACAAACTATGTAGCTGTAGTAACTGTCCGCTCTTTTTGATAAAAGAGCATTTTAATCTTAATGTTATATTTTCAGTCATTTATGTGATGTCTACATTGTTTTTGGGAAACCTCAGCTCTACAGATAAACTCTGTACTCAAGCAGGTGAATCAATTAGCACATGCTCTTAAGGCCAACAATACACAGGTAACCTTTTGCAGCATTATTGATGGCCCATATTGACATGTTTTTTATGGGGCATTTCTCTTGATAGCTCACGATGTGGTCCAGTTTCTCAGGTCAATAGCTGAAAGCATCTCACCATCATCCATCACAGTCTAGTGCCCCCCCCCCCCCACCCTCTGCCACCTCCACCTACCCAGAGAACAAGCTTAACAGATGATTGACTGTCAGCTGCCCTCCATGAAGCACCTGCACGACACTGTAGAGAATAAAAAGCTGGGATGAGTTGGCACGGCCCTGCAGCCACACATGATGAGCTTTTTTAAAAAAAAAAAAAAAACTTTCCTCTGTGACACGGCACCAGCCCATTAAAAACAGAGACGACTGCCTCAGAGGGGTTTTCACTGAAGTTGTCATCACAGTCACACTTACATCTAAAAAGTCCTCCTGCCTGTACACAATCACAACTTGTATTCCCTATTTTTCTCTGCTTTTTGTCACCATATGTCTGTCCTTTTTTTAAAAATAAGAATAGAAGCTTGTCTAATGCACATAACAAGACTTCATCATCTTCATCTAAATTGCTACCAATGCTACAGAACTGCAACACTTCAAGTGAGAAGTAGATATTCATCAGCTATGTTCACATTTTAGTAATGAGTCTGATTTGAGCTAAGGGAAATACTCTTTAAGTGAAATGAGACTTTGCCTAATGAGTGGCTGCATGTCATTTATTTTCAAAGTCTGGCTGCACCTATAGCATTGATGCAAATTAAGCTTTTTGATAAACATCCCAGATACCACATTGTCGCTCGATTTGCTCGAGGATTTGATGTGCTAGCATAGGATGCTGTTTGCTGTAATCACACAGCACACATGCTTCTAAGATCCCTTGTATCAAAATTGATTTTAATTTCGCTGAATATCAGCGTTACTTAATAGTCTGCATGAAAGGATTTTTGTCGAATCATTGTTTAACTGCGTATATTAATAATCACTTCCCCTCAGAGGATCTTTCCTCTCCTCCCTATATACTTTTTCCCTATCAGCGTGCAAGAAGTCATTTCAGAATCTGCCTGAGTACATATTTAATCACTTTGCACATTAACTGGACATGTCATGCAAATAAAGACGTCTATTTTCCCAGCTATTTGGAGAGACTCTAATTTTCATTTCATTAAAATAACTAAAGCTGACTAAGGATATGCACACATTCAAAGCTTATGGTCTTGGCATCAGCAAAACGGCTCCCCCTTATAATCACCATAAATCTTTCTTGAAAAAATTACAAATAGTCTGCTTTAAAATTGTGAGGTCTATATATTCCACCATATTGCAGGATGATTACATTTCTCCCTTGGCTGGCTTTTATATGCGGATAGAGTGAAAAAGAGCGTTATGAAACAGGGCGGGAAATAAGATCACATTCTCACCTGAAGCGTTTCCCTTTAGACAGCGCTCTGCTGAGAATAGGTGGGGCTGCTGTTGATGTGCCTCGTGCCACGCTGCTGCCCTTCAGAGAGGATCCATGAGAGCTGCAGCTCTGCAAAAATGAAGAGGAAGAGTGTATCAGTAAGTGGTAAAACATACTGTAGTGATCATGGCTTCAGAATGAATCCTCCTGCAATGCAAAATACCCAGAAGGATTGTTTTCAGAACGGTGTAGCTTGGATTGATTGATTGATGATCAAGATCTAAAACAAGACTCTCAGGTGTCAGAGATTATGAAAGTAAACACTGGAAATAAGCTCCACATAATGCAGGGGATACTGTATTTGGCTTAGCAGTGAGTCCCCACTCACGTTAAAGTCCACAGTGAGTTTTGGGATGTTCACTGGCTGCTATATCCTCCCTGAGTCAGAGTGTCTTTAATTACACTTTACATTTTAAACTGCAGATTAGGAGGGGGGCGCTTTGTGAATAAACTCTGCCATAACCCTCACAGCACTCCCGCCGCACTAAAGAAATAATCCTACACAAGATTACATTAATGGTTTCCTAAAGAAGTCCCCCCCTTCAATTCTTTCCCTTTATTCTTATCAAAATGAACAGCATTATCTTACAACAGGCCCCAGACGGAGCTGCAGCACAGCGACCAGAAATGCCTAAAGAACCCCCCCCCCACCCCACCCCCACCACCTCCTGTGAGACACTAAGTCAGGAGATAATTCTGTTATTCCACTTACAGTTCCTTCCTGCTCTGCCCCTTCTGTCAGCCTGATTGCACATCACTAAAGATATTGCATGTGACTTACAGCTGGTTCAAGGTTCTCTTATTCTTGATAAGCCTCTTTTTTTCTTCTTTACACCCCTGACTCCCAGCGGGGGCTGTTACTGCTGTTCACTAGTTGTGCGAGAAAATAGGATCATTTTGGCCACCCTCTCATGTACCCTGCGGGTGCACAGCGCCTCACTTTTTTTGGGAACAATTGCTGTGGAGAACTTTCCTGCTGGATGATATCTATGTGTCGATGAAACAAATGTCTCATGGCAGACCTGCATGGCGTAAGACATTTCACTTGTTCCCTCCTATCTTGCCGTTGCCTTGTTTTTTTACGCCACTTATGATAGCCTTGGATAAACACAATGCAAGGTGCATTTATTTCAAGGAGAGACGAGGAAAAAATACGGGACGAAGAAAATCTATCAATATGTTGACGTTCAACTATACACCAAGGAGAAAGGCAAACCAATGCATTCAGAGCAGCATTAATCCCGCTTGGATTATGTTCCAAACACAGGTCCTGAACTGTGCATAATGGGATATTTGACCATTCTTCATGAAGGACAATCCAGCAGCAGCAGCACAAGCATCTGCAGGCTGACTGCACAAACTGCATCAATGTGACAACTACTGATAGCAAACACAATTCTGGTTCTACCTGATATCAAAGTGTTGATCAGTTGTTTTAGAATTAAGCCCCGACAGCCACATTAGCATAGAGTTTGTAACAGTTGACAACATTATTAATTTTCAAGCTGCAGTAGCCTGTCCTTTGATGAGTCACAGCCTTACCTACGGAAGCTTTCATGTCCTATCCCCACTGCTGTCATAACACTCGCTATACAAGTGACTAATTTCCCTCCTCCATTTTCTGTTTATACTGGCACCCTGGGTAATTCTCTAATGGCATTGTGCCTTCTGCTTTTCCTTTTTTTTTTTTTTTCCGAGGCTGTGATGAAAAAAAAAAAAACCTTGACTTCAAGAGACACAATTTCCTGAACAGGAACTTCTTTTTGTCCAATATATTTTAAAACTTCTCTTACTCAAAACTAAAGCACATTCTTGGGACTAGGACTTTTGTTCTCAGGACGTTAAGTTATGTTTTAAATTCCTGGGTGTGCACATTGCTGAGGACCTGACCTGGAGCTTGAACACCTCCAACATCATCAAGAGAGCCCAGCAGAGACTGTTCTTCCTGAGGACTCTGAGGCTCCCACAGAAACTGATGATCAGTTTCTACCGCTGCACAACTGAGAGTATCCTGACCTATTGTTTTACTGTATGGTACTCCAGCTGCACTGCTGCTGAGAAAAAAGATCTGCAGCGGGTCGTGAGGACGGCTGAGAGGATTGTCGGTTCCCCTCTCCCAAACCTGAACGACATCCACTCAAGCCGTCTCCTCACACGGGCCGCAAACATCCTGCAGGACCCCTCACACCCCGGTAACCCCCTTTTCACCACCCTCCCCTCAAGTAGACTGAGAACCCCCAACACACGCACAAATAGGCTGCGGAACAGCTTCTTCCCCGGAGCTGTGGACACACTACAAACACACACACACACACACACACACACACACACACACACACACACACACACACACACACACACACACACACACACACACACACACACACACACACACACACACACACACACACACACACACACACACACACACACACACACACACACACACACACACACACACACAGATGGAACTCACCCCTGGACTACAATAATGGACTCTGTGCAATAACTTTAGTGTTTTAACTCCCTATATTTTAATCTATAGAGTATTTATTACATTATTTTTTACAAATGTTTACGGGTATAAATTTGTATGTGGGTATGGGTGAAATGTGTTTTTGTATGTGTATGTGTGCTGGTGTATGTGTACTTATCTTATATTTCATATGTTGCAAACAGGATTGCTTAAACTGACTTGGTTGAATATCATGCAATGACAATAAAGATAAATCTATCTATCCAAAAGGTCCTTATTTCGGGGGTGTCATGATTTGCTCATGTTTAGTTTTGTATTCTGTCTTTTTTTAGAGTTTAGATTTCCTTTCTTGTTTTAGTTTGTCTCGTTCTTCCCTGGTGTTGCTTGTGTCCCTTGTGTGTTTCTTAATTTGAATGTTTCCTCGTTGTGTCTTTAGTGTTTCCGGTTTTATTTTGTAGTTCTTGTCCCCAAGTGTTTCTTGTCTTCCCTTACTTCCTCCCTTTGTCTGGTTTCCCTCCATTATGATAACCCTGATTGTATTAACCTGTGTCGTTAGTCTCACCTGTGTCTGATTACCCGTATTTTAATTAGTCTCAGTGTTCCCTCCCCAACATGTCTTCCTACACGCTTCCTCATGGCTCATTGTTTCCCCTGTGGATTTCTGATGGGACTTTTTGGGACTTTATTTGGATTTGGAAAGTAAGCCTTATTTTGCCCTTTTTGTTTATTAAATATGTTTTTTTTTGTTGCACATGTGTCTTCCTCTTTGTTTTTCTTATGAGCGTGACAGGGGGTAGAACTTTCTGAAAGGTCAGGAAGCTTGCAGCGCTGAATATTTCTGACTCAGAGCGTTCAGAAGACTCAGATTCAGAATGTTCCCTCTCCTTTGGTGTTATTGAAGACAAAAAGCAGGGACCTTTATAAACCTTGAAAATAGTTCCTGGCATGATGATTGTTGTAAAACTGACTTTGGTCAAACAGAACACCAGAGACTTTATCAAAATAGTGTGAGGTCGTTTTTCTGTCAATCTTTGGTAAACTAGACTAGATTCTGTGTCCCCTTTCTTTATCAAGCCCCATGACGTATTCATAATTTGCTGACATGTAGCTTTGCATCACTCCTGGGGGTTTCTCAATCTCCTCTTAGAGGTTGGAATAGTTATTTAGCATCACTCCAACTTCCTCCTGGTGGGAAGAGAGTTTTTGTGTTTTGTCTTCCCGGTCTGTGTGCTCCTCTTCCGTCACGTCGCTGCACGTCTGTTCCAGTACAGCGCGCCTCATGGGTTTAAACCCCATCCTTTTTTTATTACTTGAGAAACAATTCCATTGCCAGGGAGGTGTTGATTCAACTCCCTTAAGAAGTCAGAGGTGTTTAACTATACAATTACATTTACATTTCTCTTTTGGTTGCAATTTCCCTGGAAAGTGAAATGACTCATGCGACTACATTTAACTCCCTACAGATCTGCACCTTCACAGTCAAGTGCAAATCCAACAGCTATTCAAACTGAAATTACAGATGGAGAGAACATATGCACAGAAATGTATCCAGATGTATGAATATGCCAAACAATCACAGATGGAGACTAAAAGGAATGTGTAAAAAAAAAATGCAGGTGCACTAAGTCCAATTGAAAAGAGCACACTAGGTAAAGAAGCAGTGCAGGTGCCCAGGTGCATATTTAAAAAAAGCTGTTCTGGGTATAATAACATCTTAGTTGGCTCAGATTTGGAGGACTGCTGCAGAAAAAAAAAGTACAATAACAATGAGGTCAGCATACACAAGTCTTGACATTGTTGCTCAGCAAAGGGAGCAAGAGGGGAAATTTCCTGGTCTGTGACGCATGAATTTGGCAAATTTGGAGGAGTTTAAAGACTCTGGATTTGGTTTGTATGGAAAAAAAGCGGACAAAAACAGATTTCATCCTCCCCTCTGCACCTGCTTCTGACAGAGCCAGCCTTTTGTTTCCAGCTCACTGTGCTCATCCTCCTCCTTACTCCTTCGAAAGCACACAGTAAAAAGCACTGTGTTCTCATGCAGTATAGACAAAATGTTTTGAGCCTCTTAAAGGACCCACTGTTCTGTATGTCCTTCCCTTTCTTTAAAGAAAATCCAGAGAGCTGCACCACCCACAAGAAATTGCAAGGAAATCGTGATCTGGGGAGCTATGGGAGTTGCTCTAGTAAATTCAGCTACTGTGATTATTAAAGTAACACACTCTAATCAGCTTTTTATGAAAACATGGTTGTAGTTTAAGAACACTATTAGACTTTAACTTTAAACTCCTTAACTAGAAACTGCAAGAGTATCATTCGTTTTTGTGGTGTTCTTAACATTTAGACACAATGGGGAGGATAGCAGCAAAGGTCAAAGATCTGCATCAAGTCACAGGAATGTCAATCAAAATTGTATTTTATAAAATTTTATAATAAGTGTTATATTGTGTCGCCATATGTGTACATTAAAGTTTTTATACAAAATATTTTCATGACCAAATTGTGGGAGGGAGGGGCCTCAGAAAACGCTGGCAAACAGAAAACCTAATGCAGCAGTTTAATGATGTGCGGTCATGTGCAGACAGTCTTAGAAGTCTAAGAATCTGTTCTTAATGACCTGCCTGGTTAAATAAAGGTAAAATAAAATAAAATAAAATAAAAAAAAACTTCACCATCACCTCTCAACCACTCGAGGTGAATTCTCCTGATGATATCCTGCTACTATCTCACATCAGCTCAATAGGACTTTCTGCGGAAAAAGTACTCGGGGACTGGCCGGAGAAAGTCTGAATTCAAAATTCTACTTGCGTTCACACATCCAGCTCACCCTGAAAACTTCAGGAGTTTTTCTGAAGTTTTGTGCAACTGTGAACTAGGCTAGATTGAGTGAGTTGGTGGAAAGAAGCACTGGTCTGTCAGGTCTCAGACAATATGTGTTTCATTTGTTAATATTTTCAAGGGGCAGCCTTCAAAAATTAAGCCTTTGCAGAGTTGCAAAAAAAACTGCAGTTCCTCAAATGTCCACTTGAGGAAGTCTCCAAGAGATCCAGAAGTCCCACACACCCCATATTAAAATGTCTGTTTTGACAGCAGAAATAAACATGTTAGCTTCGTACAAAAATATTCCGGCCTGATTGGTTAATGTGTTTATCGGCACAAATTATACAGGGATGTCATTTTTTTTTAAACTCACCAGTTTGATTTTATGAAGGATAGGAGTTAGCGGCGATCCAACTGCAAGCAGCTGTGTTTTAGCGTTTAGTCGGGAGACTTAAGGCCAGTTTCAGTTCCAGCTCTCTGTCTGTCATTAGGTCGACTGAAAGGTTGCCTTTCAGAAACCAGTGGTGACATCACTAAGACTTAGTCCATATTTATTACAGTCTATGATCTTTCCTTGGTTTGCCCCCCTCCTGGGTGCCTCCAGCCGCTGATCTTTCATATCTCACTTTAAGCTTCCTTCACACTCTTCTCTTACAGCCTGTAGTTGTTTTATTATTACGGGCTTTCATTTTTGTCTTCCTCCTGGCTTCCCCCCTTTGTCCAGCTCTAAAAGCAGTGTTTCTTGGCTGAACACAGGGCAACGCTTCATGCTGAGCCTTCACATATTCCTGTCATCACATTCTCACAGTCACAGTATTAATATAATAGCCTGCTACTGTGCTATGGTCCGCTTTCTGACAGGCTTTAAACTGGGCTCCAGTGTCTTCGACCGGTCTGATGGCAGTGGGAAATCTGAGGATACGAACTTAAAGGTTTTTGTGCACAAGTGATTTAATGGGATGTGTTCTCACTTATTTAGATGTCATATTTTGTTATTTGACTTAAACACATGCTACTTTAACATTTACATGAAATGTTGTACCACTTGTCACTTGTCAACCGCTCACGGGCATAATTTCTTGTGACACCCTCAAAAAGCTTTCAGATTGTGCCAACTGCAGCTCCGTGGGTGGGGCTAGCTGCAGGGGTGTTTGTTTCAGCGTTTGACACTAGACACTGTTGCATTATTAAAGAGCTTCAGTACAGGCTGCATTAGGCAAAGTAGTTGCACAGAAATGACAGAACAAGGCTGAAGCTAAATGGGGAATCTGTGGCAAAAAAAAAAAAGACAATACTAAGTCAACAGCATCTGAAACAACCATGGCGTACAACCTTCTTGTTTGTTATCAATAAAGTATGCTCACAACCTGCCTTTTCACATTAATAAATAATGTGGGGAGTCATAAAAATTTCAAAAAATGTGGCGGACTTCTTTGTGTGTGTGGGATGCTAACACCTAGGGAATTCATCCAAACAGAGCAGGTGGGTGTTAGCAGGTGCAAATTAGCACCTTCATATATGATAGAAATGTAGCTGTGAGCTGAAAAAAACAACAACAACTACAACAATTTAAATTAGTAATTTAAAATGGAAACATGAGAGAACAGGACCATGCCACAGCTACAGGTGCATATTAGCAAGTGCAAAAAAACAAGTGTAGACTTTCAGGTGCACATTAGGAACTTAATAGAAATGATAGGAATCAGAATTAGCTGTAGGCAGAATAAATATATAAATAAATTAAAACAAGGACAACCCATCAACACACTAATTAAAAAGGGAATTAGCCTGAAATTTGAACATGTTTACAGCTGCAAAGAAAAGGGGAGCGTTCATGAAAGTGCTAATGCGTCATGAATACTGAACTCTTTTCTCTGTATCAGCGGCCATCTACATCATCCACCGTCCGCCTACATCATCCGCGTTTCTATTAACGCCTGGTTCAGTTTGTTCTCCCTCTGTAAAGGCTTCAAATTCATGTTGAAGCTCCTTTTTACTTTTACGTCAACAACCTGTGATTTGTTTTTTACTTAAGCAGGAGTTGGACTTTTATGATTCTTATTGGGGTTTGGTCTGTTTTTCCCCAAAGTGCCTTTGTGTTGGCTCTCCTTTATTTAATCAATGAAAGCATTACTAGCTTTATCTTTGCTTTTCTAGCTCGGTTGATGGGTCCATTGTGCACAAAGTTCTTGATCATGCTAAAAGGTAAACTCTGCTTTATAAAGAGGCAGTCCATTTGCAAAGATAAAAAAAACCTTTCACAGTTAAAGAAAAAACCCCAAAAAACAAAAAAAAAGTACAACCAGGGCTAAGAAAAGTGCTGTTTAACATTTGTTTTTTATTTGTCTCACAACATAGTATTGTTGCTGTGCTTGCATGGTGAAATCAGCGCCTGTGACATGCCAAAGATTAGAATTTCCAATCTGCAGTTTGTCAAAGGAATGTGTCACTGTGAACGTGACAAGCAGATTTTTCCTGTACAACGCTCGATGCATTTATTTGAAACTATAATTCCCCACTGTCTCTCAGCCCGTGTCAGATATGAGTGTGAACAAAAGGCTTCAGCCAGCAGAGAGATTATTAAGACACACATCGTACATCATCCTGTCAGGCACTCTAAACTCTGTTTTTCACAGGAGTGCTATACGTATTAAGATGGAACTGATTATAACGACGATAAAGGCAACATTACGGGGAGAGTTACCTTTTGGAGTTGAAGGCTGTATTGAAGGCGGGGAGTAGATTTGGACATGAGGCCAGAGGCGTTGACACTGCAGTCCCTCAGGCTGCGGCTATCTGAGAAATGAGCCTGGAGTTTTTCCCGGTGTCTTCTGCGGAGGAAAAAGAGAGACTTCAAAACAGTGGTACATTGTTCATATCTAAAGCACAATCCACAATTAAACTTTATCTAACTTTTATTGGAAAAAAAATCTATTTTCTTTAACAGAACCCCCCATGACTTTGTCTTTTATTTTATTTTAATGTACGGGAACTCATAGCTTCTTCTTTCCTAACTTTTTGAGTCTTTATTTTGACAGCATTGTTGTCGGTTATATTATGCATATCTGTGCTAAAGATGGCTGAAGACAGAGAAGGTTTTGAAAATGTTTACTGCATTATGAAAAAATGCTGATTTGAGATCATTTCCTGTCTCCTGTATAATGATTACACCCTCCAATAACAGTTTTCAGTCCACTCATTGATTTCTATTAGCCACTTAGCTGGCTCTTACATGTAACAGCAAAGCAGATCATTATATGTATTGACCAGCTTTTCCTTTTTTCTTACAAACTCTGTCCCATCAGTGTGTAAAAACAGACTGATCACATGTAGTACATAGGCCTCACACAGGGGACTTAGTAAATATATTAAACTGTTACAGTGTACAAATCAACAATTTTTATTACTTACTTTCACAGTTATTTCATTTGCAATATGCCAACCGGCCACATTTGACAGCATTTGTCAAACGTTGCTAATGTACGAGCGTCTGAAAGGTCAGGGTGACAAAACGAGCCCGAGTCAATTTGCGGCTCACATGTGGGAATTTTCCTCCCGAGCTGTAACTGAAGGCTTGATGGAGGTGAGAAACAATCCAACCGGCCACAAAAATAGCATTAGGAGCGAAGATGTGTTTCACAAGTGATAATTTAATCAAGGCAATGTACCATGAAACGTCCATTACATGCCTTTGTGATAATATTCTGGGGGAAAAGGAAGATAGGAAAGAGATTTGTCCAGAAATACCTCCTGAGACACCAGAGTGTGGATGTTCATCTCACACAGGAAGACTAAGAGGATGATTCCTGATAGGTTACACATTTTAGAGTTAGAATAAAGTGTATATACTGTCTGTATATAGTGTCACGTAGGCAGAGCCGGGGAGGTGTTAATCTATCCATGATCATCTGGTGACTTACCAAGACTTTCCAATTTTCCTGCCTCATAAATAGCTTTAACTTTTTGTCACCACGGGTATGAATATAATTGCTTCCAGTCTGTTCCAATCAATCGCATAAAAGAAATTCCACAAACAAAATTGGACAAAAAAAGCAGACTCTCATAGCTTTGCTAGAGTGTTTCTTCATTTTTTTATTAAACTTTGATTGGATTAAAATATACTTGATGCTTCAGACTTATGCATTAAATGTTAATTAACCATTAAATGTACATTTTTAAGGTTGCAAAATTCTCTGCAGCTGAGGCATTTGAAATGTTTTCTGCGTAACAGATGTGGAAAGGTGTTCAAATTCAGGATGCGCTTAAAAACATGACATAGAAAGAACAGTTCCTTCAGAGTAAAAGCCATGTAAGTAAAGTCATGACTTTGAACTGAGATGTTTAATATAGTATACTACTTATTAAGTATAAAAGTTCATTTCAGAGACCATAGTCAACATGACCACAAATATTTGTAGTTATTTCGGACATTGACTACATTTTATAACCATTTATAATTATCTTGGATATATAGTCTCAAAATAATGAAATAGGTCTCTCCTACTCGTTTTTATAGTCTTTTCTTCCTGTGAAGCATTGCTATAAATTAATTGTAAGGTCTTGGAATTGGAAGTTATTTATCTAAGCCACACAACAACATTTGGGGAAAAGATTCAGTTCAACTAAGTTTCTGGATAATTCCCCGTACATTAAATCGTCCGTTTGTCGAAAGCTCTGGGTCATTTTTAACAAGTGCTGGGGGACTAGAAAAAAAACTTTTTTTATCAAGACCAATTCAATCAACGCAACCAACAATAAATTCCACTCTTAGACTTGGCCATTACTTTTCTTTGTACGTTCCCTTTCCTTCCTCTTCCCTGCGGTGAGTAATTGACTTTGGTGTGTTGCTTTTGTGCACACGCTTTTAGAGTCTAATGCTTTTGACTCTAGCTCTGGCCTTATCTGTGTATTTTGCTTTGTCTGAAGCATTTCGCGACACACCTACTCCCTCAAACCTCTTTACGAATAAATCTTGCATGAGCATCTGTCCCAAAAGCATCCAACACAATTTAGACATGATGCCCAGCTAAAACACCGTCTCCCTGACTCACACTTGGAATTTCATCGGGCTTCACGCCATGATAGTAAAGTGCTCTTTCTGCACAGCCGGGGGCATACGCTACTAATGTGGTGCTGGCTGGCATCACTCACTTGTTGCGGCGGTAGAGTGCCATACATGCCACTCCGAGCAGACAGATCCCCGAGGCGATGCTGAAGATGGACAGCACCTGCCTCTGGTAAGTGTCGCCGCTCTCTGTGGAAAGAAAGAATACAGTTCATGCCGCTGACTTTTTATTATGACACCAACAATATGGACTGTAGCTGTGAGCATGAACGCATTGTGCCATAAATTAACACACAGAACTCACACTAAATGATGGACGGACACACACTGCTACACATCCACCCACCATCTGCATTAGCATAAAGCGACCAGTGCCGCTGTCAGTAAATGTCAGCGTTTGAGCATGGGATAGGGACATGGCAGACACAGACAGGGCTTAGTGACATGTGCTAACTGAAGTGTGATAATCATTTCGTTCTGACAAACCCAGAAGGCAGTACCGATGGACTCTCTACACAGCAGGGGCAACACTGACTCTGTGTGCGTGTGTGTACTGTAATGTGTGTCAGCGTTCGGAGACTGATGGCGACAGGGAATTAGCAGAAAATGAATGCTCCCGGAGCCTCTTGTCAGACCCCCGCACATCAGCAGCAGAGGCTTAAGGTCAGATGCACTTGGGACAAAAAGCAGTTGATCCCAGCAGATATCTGTCTGACCCAGCTGCTGGAACGTGAAGCTGTGCTACTTAGCAGAGTGCAAAGTGGGTAGGCAAAGTCGTTGAATGGACAGGGAATTATCAAAAAACCCCATGTTTCAGGAAGAGGCGATCCATTACAAAAATAACAGCATTGGAAAAGCTTTCTAAAAAGCCTTAAATGTGATACTGGGTATTGTGAAAAACATTTCAATGCAACTAATAAAGGATTATTAAATCCTCCCCCCCCCCCTCAAAAATCGATGTTTCTTCTTCTCCAAAATTGTGGCCCACAGAGCAATACCTTCTAATTACATATAAAAAGTAATTGTGTAAAAAGTCTAATTCAAATTTAATTCATATAAATATTTCAAGTAACAATTTACTTGGCCAGTTGGTGCACCTTGTTTTTGCACTTTGCAAACTTGTCAAATTATGAGATTGTTTTCTCTAAAGATTGAGCCTGCTGCTTGTCTTGTATTAGGATGAAGAAATACCTCAACGCACATTGCTATTTTGACCGTAATACACATTTAGAACTTATCTTTTCCTTTATATTTATTCTATAAGTGTGTATTTAATACAAAGAGGAACTGATTTGGGGTTAATTGTTATGTAACATTAGCGTACAACACTGCTAGCTAAGAGTGTAGCGCTAGTCCAAGGTAAATCAGCTATCAGTGTGTTCCTTTAACACATTTTGCGGCTGTTTTTTTTCATAAAGTGAAGATAATAAAATAGCTGAAGGACAAAATAAAGCAGTTTCTCTGGCTATTGTTGGAGGACACAGGACAGGGCTATGTTTTTTATCATAAATTAGGATTCCCTCTGTGTGCTAAACCAGGTCATACAACAAGCATGACAGTCATCTTATATACATGAAGAGGAACTGCTTTTGGGTTAATTATCATGTGATATTTAGCTGTTATAACTGATAGAAAAGTCAAAGTTAGGGTAATTAAGTTACAAAAAGATTATCGAGTAGTTTCTCTTACAATGTTTGGTGGACAGATGGCAACAGGATGCGGGTAACGAAAGCTTAGCCTGTTTTAAAAGTCAGGAATCCTTTTGTGTGATTAAAAAATGCCACACAGCAAGTGTTGCAATTCAATCGTATTCTGGGTTAGTAGTGTACAGCTTTTAAAAATATGAAGTTACTTATACCCTTAAAAACCCCCAAAATAGAGCAGTTTATCTGGACCTCTTTAACTGAAACAGAATGGTCCACAAGTTAAGCTAATGTAAGATTAACCTGTTACAAAGTTTGGATTATGTTCCGGGTCACGTCATCTGGTAAAAATTGGTAGTATCTCTCTAATCTGCTGACGACTACTCAACAGAATTTGATTCTTCATGACCTTGAGACGTTACTCAATCACTCAAAACCAATAAATCTCTTTGTGCCTGAACTCACCGTCTTGAGTACCACAGGGTAAAGTGCAGAAAACATCCCCACAACCTGTTCCTGACCTTTTAGGGCTTGTTTATGGCTTTTGATGCTGTCAACAGAGAAGTGTCCTGGGAGGTCTTCTTGTCTGCACTGGTTTGTCAACTTGGCCCAACTTTTATTTTTAAGGGCATGGTGAATGATGGAGAGCTTCCTGTGGTCAAAGCTTACATTAAAGTCTGTTTGCATCATTTTCATCCCCCTGCATTACATCAGTGCTGCATCAACACATTTAAAGGATAGTGTGGTGCTTGTGAGTTCAAACAGGAGGGAAAACCTTTTAAATATTAGAGTGCTTCTGGCTAAAGATAAAGATAAAACATAAAAACTCCTGGAGTTAGAATATGTGGATATATACAGTATATATATATATATTTATACATCAGAGGTCCAAGCTGCCCACTCAGCTCCTGTGAGGAGGAGGCAAGAGGGAGTCAAAATATGAGCTGCAGGGGAGGCCAGCTGTGTCACACTATTGCATTTTTAAGACTGTCAAACACACAAATTGCTATGTGGAAATTTGTGGCCTTTTCGATATTAATAATATTGGGTTTAAACTCTTATATTTTAATGTTAGGTTGTTTTGCCAGCATTTTATCCACTCCCAAAGTCTAATTTGACGTGTGACTAACAAGTTCAGACATGTGCATTAAAGCCTGATGGAAATGATTTGTGATACCAATAATAATATTTGAGAATTACTTCAAACACCTATAATTATCTCTACTTAGACTAAAATCCATAAGACAACTCATGACCGAGTTGTTACAAAGATACTGTCAACATGGGGCAGTGTATTTTCCAGCAGAAAAAAAGCAAAGGTAAATACAGTATGACATTATGAGTTATGAGTCATTTTCATGGCAAGCATTAAAATAAATGAAAGAGGTTATATTAAGCAAAACCTAACCTAAGCAAAAAAATATTACCGAGAACTGCTGCTATTTAGTTGCCTTTGATGTTTTGACAGATTTCTGCATATATGCTGTTGCTAAAGCTGCAACAGTTTGGCACTTAATTGATGAATGAATCACATATCGAATGTATTGCCAAGTATTTTGATTATTGCTTGTGTTATGTACCTTGTGGTTAATGCTTCCATAACATAAGGATTTGCTACTTTTATTTGTCAGTTATGAAACTTTCTGAAGAGGTGTTGGTTTTTGGATTGTTGAAGCAATCAAATTGGGAAATGTTGATATTCGAAGACCAAAAAATAAACTGTTTAAAGGGGAAATATGTAACTAGTGTTTAAAATTGGTACTGCAGTCTGAATTCATTTGTCACCCCCTTACCCTTCCTCTCTAGAGTCGATTCCCACGCAGGATGCCATGTCGCGGGCAAGGAAGCTTCAGTGTTTAGCCAGCTCTGCATCGGTCTTAAAACCTTGTGTTTTAAACTCTCTCCATTTTTTAAAAGCATGCTATTGTCCTAGTTTTAACATGTTTCTGGTTGAAGAAATGCCTGCTTACATCACTGCAACACCGATTGCTTTGCTGTTTGCCTGGCAAACTTAGGGGTGTCCAAAACAGCTGAGAGGGGGTGCCTTAAAACTGCCTTCCGTCTCTGGTGAAAAAAAATATCAAACCATTTAATTTAGTAGATATCTTGCTTATTGCTCCTTTAAATGTGAAAGACTTCAGATTGATAAATTGAAAAAAGTTGTAAAGTCCTACAATGAGACATTACTGTCGGGGATATCAGCTCTGAGTAAAATCTGTCAGGCTCTTGTTTAGCATAATGGAACCTATCACATATTTCCCATGAGTTCTTTAACACTTAGTGTTGAAGCTGTCAAATCTCTTAATTCAAAGATTCTTGACTCGGCCTGTAATTTGTCAGCAGTATCATTGAATACCTTCAAGCAGCCTTTTGCCAATTAACACCAGAAAGTTGCTTCTGCTGTGTATTTGTTAAGGAAGACTATGTCACTAAGTATACGTATTACCCTTCGGAGGCCCTCCAGTCTATTACCATTTTTAAAATGACCTTCCAACAGCTGCATCTTTTCAGATATATGGAAAAAAAAAACATCTTTCCCTGCTGCCACACCATCAGACCACCACCTGAGACAAACTCCTCTGCTGCATTTTTTTTGGAAAGATGAAATAGGCTTTTGCAAAATCAGAACATGAAAACAACAGTTGTCTACAAAGCTCTGCTGAATGTCTGCAAGGAAAACCTAACATGGAGTCTGTATATAAAACCATTACAGGCCTTTAATGCCCTGAGCCTGTGAGGCATTGTTGAAATTAGAGGCAAAAGCATGTTGGGAAATGGAACCATGTCATATTGACACAAGGACAACACAATCCCATATGGCCGGCTATGCCATAGCCAGCACAATGACTTGATAAAAATACTATAATGAAGAGCATGCTACAATATAAGGATCCGTGACAAAATTGGGTGTTCAGCTTGAAATACATCAGGGGAAACTAGTGAGACACATAGAGCTGCAGCTGCCAGGCTAAAGAATGAAAGAAAATCAAAAGACAAGATCATATTTGGAGTACTCAATCCCACTTCAAACAGAGCTTTGCTGCAGTCTGACAGACTGTCTCAAGCTCAGACTGTCAAACATTAGACTTATATAACAACTATCAGAAGACTCATGGCTAAAGCAGAAGAAAAAGTCTTAATGGAACACAATGAAAAAGCACAATGAGCGTGCACTTACATCAGAGCCCCAAAAACTGTGTCTGTCTTCCGTCCAGCTATCAATCCATGCCTCCTGTTCTCATTTTCTCTAATGCATCTGCCCACCTGCAGCACCATTCTCAACTAATTTAGTCCTCGGATTAAAATCACTGAAGTGAGGAATGTTGTGTACAGCAGGGCAGGCGCTTCCCCTTTCAAAGCGCCTCCTCCTCCTCCTCCCTCCCTGCCTCGTATTTCCCCGCAGCAAGTGTGTGACATGACAGCAGTGTATGAAGTATGATGTTAATGGAAAACTTCACAGCAGGCAATGTTAGTTTTTTTTAATGTATGCACAAAAGGGAGCCTGAGAAGATGGCAAAGAGAAGATGGAAAACATCACGAGGGTGGTAGGTAGAGGCTGTGTGTGTGTGTGTGTGTGTGTGTGTGTGTGTGCGTGTGTGTGTGTGTGTGTGTGGGGTAAAACTGTATACTCCCTCTGGAAAAAAAGAACATTGTGTTATAAATGAAGAAAGAGGATTGGGTAATTTGTTTTTTTAAGATGTTTTTAACCACCTGGAAGCTTAAACAGCCCCAACACCAATAAGTAGAAATCCAAACTGGTCAACGTTTAAAGGCTTCTATTCCATTCACCATATTCACTCTGTGGTCATTTTCCTTTGACATCACACTCAGAGTGGGAAGCCAAAATGCTGCGATAATGTCAAACTGCTGTGTTCCAGGATGTTAGTCAAATAAATGGAGGTACCTAACATTTATTTTCAATTCACTGGCTCTTAATAAATGTGCAACAAAAAAAAGACATTTGGGAGAAAATACACTGGGACATCTGATCATATTTAATGTTCAAGAACGGTTTTCAAATATGTTGTTTTAACTTGAAATGTATTACGATGTCCCTCTGGATTTTTAATGTCCTTTGTCTTTACTGTTGCTAATAAGTCGAGATGACAATAACAACTTGCATCATTAAAGACAGAAGTTTGATATTATAACAGCACCCGAGTTTGAAAATTAGCCGCTGTGTGACTATCTTCAGTAATGATTCCAAAAGTGTGGGGTTTTGCCCCCTGATGGGCCGTAAAGGTGTTGCAGGTGAGGCACAAAATATTTACATTTAGATTTTTTTAAATACAATTTTAGAGTTTACAATTTGCACTTAGATTGATACTCACAAAAATGCTGGTCTATATTGATGGAATATATATTTGTACTATGTTACTGTAGGTCCAGCTTCACAGAGGATTGTTCTGTTTCTAAAATAAAAAAATATTATATATTTTTTTGTGTGTCACTTATTGACTGGGGTTGTTTAATCAAATGGTATTTATTTATTATTTCTGAGGTTTAGCAATGTCTGCTATGGATATATTTATAGTGTCTGTACAGACTTTTAGGTGAATAATGTGAAAATCCAGATTAAAAAAATGTCCACACTCTGAGCTAAACTCACCAAACATTCATTCAAGAAATGTACTGCAGCTGTGTCATTGCTCTTCCCTCATTACATCACTCCTCTGTGACAGCACTGCTCTCCACTCAGATGGAATACGCCTTATTCAACACCACAGTGTTTCCATGGCGACTGGCCCCGCATTAATTTTTTTGCCAAGGTGAGTGGCCTTGTTGTTGTGCTTGTGATTGTGTTTTTGTATGAAGCTTTGCACAGAGGTGCGCCATTTGGAAAAAAATAATACAAAAAATTGCGCACTTGACAAAGTAAATGAAAAAGTTCTCTTACCCATGAACTCGATCCCAAGTTCATCCGCTGTCGTGTTCAAAGGCAGGTGGGGGGGGGAGGGGGGGGGGAGTAAACAGACAGGGAGAGAGGAAAAGAGAGACAGAGATAAAACAGTTACAACATGATGTGCCTCTATCTTTCTCAGAATTCACCTCAGGGAGACACACATGCAGCAAGTAGACCGTAAAGTTGGTTTGACGGCTTCCTCTGACATGCCCCCCCCCCCCCCCCCCTTTTTGTGCACCAGGTAATGAGCCAGTCAGCCCTGGATGCTCACTATGCCTGTTCCAGTCTGAATTCACACTGCCTCCTATGGCTTGCAATGAAGAAAGAGAACAACAAAGATAAGGGGAGGCAGAGAGGATTAGAGGACGGATCGAAAAAAAATTAAGTTGAGAATGACATATCATATAGCTTTATGTCACTGACGTTGCCTTGCATAGGCCTTTTGTATTGATTCCAGCCCGAGGCGTTGTGGTAATTGTTCTCCTCCGTCTCCAAGCATGGCTTTGCAATATTCACAAGCTGGTCCCTTTAAGATGCAGGCATGCTCACCCATAGACATACAGTACTCTTGTCTGTATGAACACACACACACACACACACACACACACACACACATTTTGACTCTCTCTCTCTCTCTCTCTCTCTCTCTCTCTCTCTCACAATCTCTAGTCTTTCTTCATGCAGTTAAGTCCACCCCCCCCTCAATCCCAGTCCTCGGAAAACAGATAAAAAGGGAGCACTCGTGTTCCTTCAGACCAGACAGTGGCCCTTTTTCATGTCACTGTAATGTAATCTCATTTACATTAAAATGAAACCCTCACTAGTAATTGCTTTTCTGACAGAGGTGGTCTGAGTTTTAAATAGAATGCTGCTTGCCAAGCTCCTGACAGATTATGTGGTAGGCACTCTCAAAAAAATCACTGCCAACAGAAGAAGCAAAAAAAAACATCTGTTCTATCTTTTCACGCATGCATTTTGATGGTGCCATGGGAAAATGTGTCATTGTGCTGGCTTCATGAGTTTGAGGAAAAATAACAACACCCCAGAGGACTGGAGTGAGATTCAGATATGGAAAAGACAAACATCATTTTGGTTAAATGGATTATGAAAATCAGTACACAAGGTGTTCTCAGTTATACAAAGCAGTGTGACTGGAGGAAGTAGGTCATTCCCTAAAAAAGGTGAATGGTCGAATTTGAAACAGCTAGCTTACATGTGACATTTGGGTCAGAGTGCATTTGGACCATTAAAGGTGAAATTCTGAATTCATGTTCTAATCCAAGTGTGTTCTACTGACGCTCTGACTGCCAGGCCATTATCGCTGCCATTGTTGCAGATAACTAGAGAGGGAAGCGGGTCTGAAATATCTAAATTGATAAATCAATTTTCACATTCATTCATGTTGTATTTCAATGGAAGAGAGTGCAGTTCTTCATTTCCTGATTTATTTCAAGGCAGCCTTTTGGATTATTTCCCAAATGCTGCATTGATTACTCATTTAATAATTTCCAAGCAAGTCAAAGAAATGTTAAAAACTAACAAAGCTTCTGGAAATTTGGCTTGAAATACTGAAGACTATGTCGAGAGTCTTGTTAAGCGTCGACAAAAAGCGTCTACAAAAATCACACATTGTTTGGCATGGCCTATCACAGGTTGATTGAAATCTACCTGCCTCTGCATAACAATGACTCGTGTACAATAGGTGTTCAGAAGCCCAACAAAAAATTATATAAATCAAAGTTAACAGTCAGCTCTTGCAACCTTAACTCAGACCCAGAGTTTCTTCTGAAAGTTAAAAAAGCAATGCTAAATGTTGGGATTGTGGTGTTAGCCAGTGCTGTATATTTATATACAGTAGCTAAGTACCTTAGCTGCCTTTTAAATGAATAGATCATCAATTACCAAAATTAAACTCCAGCCACCAAAACTACAAAAATAGACTTCCACTGAGCAATACTTGGCTCAGGAAGAACACAAGTTGGTAACAGCCAAACACAGGGGTATGAATGTTAGGTTAAGGATTGAGACTGACTTCTTATACTTTTTAGATGCTATTCATTATGTTCACAATATAGTAAGTAAGCATTTGTGGATTTGGGTTTAACAGCAACTCTATTCAATGCTGCAAATATACAATTTTCCAATTTAAAGGTATGACTGGATGATTCAGATATGGACTACACTTTTTTTTTTGCCAAGGTCTTTCTCGCACAGTGGCAGAAACACTTGCCAAAGCCAATAAAGTGAATTCAGTATCTTGCTGATGTTGCTTGATCAGTATCACCCATTCAAGGCATCTCCTTTGATCGCCCATGGCAACAGCCAACACTTTCCCACTCTAAATCGCCTCGACTGTCACAGCCTCTACAGATGATGTCATTACAACACTGATGCACATCCTTTCCTCTGGAATTGGCATGTCTGGAGACATTCACCAATCATAATATGAGCTGGCTGCCAATCCCTCACGCTGGCAAGTCGGGGCATCCTGGGGATTCGCTTTACAGGGCCTTGAGGAGGCTGGGAGAATACCTGTGCATCATGTCAGATGCTCTTGGCCCGATTAAGAGGCAGAAATCTGGCGAGTGGGAGAAACAATGGCGGGAGTTAATCAAATCCTTAATCCCCTCCTCCACTTGGGTGAGCATGGAACTAGGGAGTCAGTGCGTCTGGGTTTGTGTGTGCGTGTGCAATATTGAACCATATATCTAGTGTAGCTACTTACTCAACACCTAATATCTACAGGAGATTAATAGTTTAAATTATAGGCTTGCCGCCTTCCTCTTTGTAATGCGGTGGGCTAATACAAAAAGCCTACTCACCTTCAATCCTTCAATCTTCCAACAAACATCATCTCACAGACTGAACAAGCTCAACAGAACACTATTGAGCAAATTCAAACTGCGGCCATCTTTTTCTTACTTCACACTCAGGCCCTGAGTCACTAAAAATAGATGCAGTGACTAATAGCTACAAGGATTGGGCATCATTTGCTCCTGCTATTTGCTCTGTCTCAAGGTCTGATTCACATTGATGTCCTATTGATGCTCGGACGCAAACACCCCAAATGTTGTCCTGCTCAGTGCCGTTTGCTCTTGTGTTGCATCTGCATGTTTATTCAGATGCAACACAAGTGGATAAGCCATCTGCACCTTTACTCAGCACGGAGATGTGCTCTCATGCTGACGGAGCTCAGTTCTGTCCACAAATAGATGATGAACTTGATGTCTGCTCCAGACCATCCAGACAAGTCAATGAATTGTCCAGCAGCTGACAGCCCCGGACTGATTTAACCCCTGGTTATATTCATAATTGTAAATAATGAATGAGTTATATTTACAGACTTTAATTAGAGATAATTTAATTTAAGTCAGAGGAATAGATTTCCTGATCATGGTGAAGTTTGCGTGTAACATCCCTTATAAATACTGGGCGCAGTTACCACCAAGTCTCAACAAACTGTCATTTTTTTCCCACTCTAGCTGCGTGTGGCTATCAGCACCAGTGTGTTAATCAGATGCTTTTTGCAATGAGGCAGATTTGCATAGAAAGGAGCAAATTCTTCCCCAAATCACTGGACACAGGGACACTGGACACTGTGTTTAGTGTAGCTGAATCAGATGGTGTCTTTTCGTCTCATTTGCACACGTTTAGCAGGTGCAAAAGCTGCACAATCCTTTTGTGAATCAGAGAGTGTGAAGTTCTTATTCCTTTGACCCAGTTTGTGATGTAAATGAAGGGTAGGCTATTTGAAATGTTTTTGTAATTTCACTAAATTAATGAACAACTGAAAAAGAGAGTGATTTGGCAAGATTTGAAATGGGACTGTATTAAATCACCCCTTGGCAACAGTCAGACATCAGCTACTGTTAGCATTTATGCACTTTGTAGCCAGTGTTATCGTAATCAGCATTTAGCTCATGGGTAATCCAATATGTTGTTTTACTTTGATACGAAACCCAACGTCCCTCCAGACATTCACTTTTTATTGTTTTTTGTTAAAAATAAATTTGGAAGCAGGGATATGACAGCCATCATCAAATACCCTGCATTTATGCAACTTACAACCTTGATTAGAGTATTTCATCATTATACCAGCATTTCAGCTTCCCACCCTGAGAGTGACATCAGAGTAAAATGGTCGCTAAGAGAAAAGGGTGGCTTTACCCTGAAAATAAATTGGGTTTCTTACTAGGTATAATCTAAACTGCAGCCTTCCTACTCTCCCATGCCTCCAATTAAAGGCCGCGCCACTTCCCCACTGTGCACCGATATGTAAGATGGCAGCACCTTCTTCTCCCCTCAATTCTAAAGAGGGGCTCACAGCGGTGCAGCTGGAGTACCTGGCAGGGGGCCTTTTTCCCTTTTGTCCCTGCGCTTTTGAGAAGCGGGCGACACAACTCTGCTTCTATTTTCTACCTGTGTAAAGATGTGTGTGACTGAGTCGTAGTCTGCACTGCTCTTTTGAGAGGCTGCTTCATTGCTGGTCAATAACGAGACAAAGAATCAGAGAGCGATGGATGATTGGTGAGAGTAGAGTTGCTTGGAGATTGATTTTAGAAAAAAAAAGGAAAATGAAAAATAAAGTGTGCACAGATGAAACTTTTTTTAACGCCAGGGTTTGAATTGAATATAAAGCCGACACATCAATGAAAGAAAATGTAGAGTCAAACTCTGCATGCATTCCACTGCAGCTTGTCATTGTTGTTGCCAGTATGTGCATGTTTGTGTGTATGTTATTACATGATTTGCCTCTGAAAGGAGGATAATCCTCCAAACCCTTGGTAATCTGGGTAAATTTTAGATTAGTCTGTATCAACAGAGATCAAAATAGGCTTCAGTCCTCTGGAAAATCTTCCAGGGCCCTCTCATCCCTTACGGTGGGGGAGCGATTGTGGCCAAACAGTTAACTGTGGTAACAGGTGCATGCGTGGCTCTGCAACCCAAGACTATTTGCATGCAGTTTTGTATCACAGCTGTCAGTACATTTGTTTCAAGATAAAACACTTCTGAATGGGGCCCATCATGATCTTCAGATCATATTATATTTTTTGGAAAAGCACGCTGTATATATGTGTGTTTGTAGTGTTTAAAGCAGAGGGGGATGGTTATGGTGTTACTGTAGCAAAAAACATGCTTCTACTAAAGACTGCCCGTGCTGCAGACACCACAGACCCAGGTGAAGCTCACGTTAGCTCGGTAGACCAAGGAGGAGACTCAAGCAGTAACTCTGTTAGTAACTAGCTTTCATGGAAGTGACTAGTAACTACTTTTCAGTATTGGCCCAACACTGCACATATGTGACTCGAGGTGTTGCTCATTCACCATTTTTATGTGGAATTAATGCTAATTTCTCAGAATATAGTGTTCAAGAGGACATTGAGGTATAAAAGTGACATGTGGTGAATTGTATTTCTTTATTATTTTATGAATTTATATCCCTTTCTATCAACTGTTTTTGGACTCTGAACTCAGCTCTGGTTATAGCTCTTAAATGTTGAAAATTCTTAAAAAAATAAGCTGTAGTAGATTTTTAAGTTTTATAGTATTTTTGTGCTAACTTTGGCTCATTGTTTGCTCCTATAGCTTTGTTTGAAGTGTGTTGAGTAGCCTTGAGCTAAAGCAGCAGCACTACAAACAAAGCTTAGTAAGTCAGGAGTTAATGTTGTTTTCCTGGAGACTCCTACTCTTCAGTATCGTGTTTACCCACATCCTGATTAAACTGTTTTATAGGCTTACCTTAAGCGACTGTAAAAGACGCGTGTCCCCTAAAACACAGTTTTGTAGTCACAAAGGGTATATTGCATGTTTAATCCACTGACGAAATCCATCCATTTTAATTTCCTGCTTCAATCCATTCTGTTATGTTGTGAGATGATCTCTTTCCAAGAATGATTAAGGTGAAATTCATTTTGGTAAGCTCATACACTACAGAAAAATATCCAAATTCCCAAATAATGACAAACATTGAAGTGAGAAATTTATTCACAACATCTTACATCAATCATTTAAAATGTTTGGAATCTCAGCAGCGTATTGCCTTATTCATATTTAATAAATAAACACATTACTAAAGTAGACATAACTGTAATTATTTATTCTTTGACATGACAATGTCCTGATCTGAACACAAACTGATTCCTGCTTTTAATAACTCAAATAAATCCTACTGTGAAAACTGAAACATGTCTCTTGACACTGGCTTGTGACCCCATTAATGGGCTTACAGTGGAAATCAAACAGGAGGCAATCAGGGCTCTGTTTTCTTTCTGACATTTGGTGCAGAGGAGGCAAGTCACTCCATTAAACAGTGTGACTTTGTAAAGCGGAAAGAAGGCCGGAGGCCTCCGATTTCACACCTTGTACCTCGGACCTTGTACAGAGATTTTTATCTCTGTAACTACGCTGCACATTCTGTTGAGAGGATTCAAAGACTGTGGAGGAAATTGTTTGTCATGACAACAGGAAACGGCATATTTCCCTTTCCCTTCAGTGAGATAAAAGTGAATCAAGATTAAAGACCATAATAAAAGATAGTGGAGCTTTTATGCACAGAGTTTAATTCTAATGTCTGTATGGTAGCACTTTGTCTACAGAGGCTAATAAAGAGGCATCGTCTCATGATATGTGTAGTCATGAAATCATGTTTTTTATGGCTCTAATAATGGCCAAATTAAGATTGAAAAGACGATTTTCACATTATGACACTATTCCAAAATTTATGACTACCTGTTTGGAAGAGAAATTACGTAATATTGAAATAAGCCGAAAAAAGAGATGCAACGAAAAAAAAATTAATACTGCAGCGAATATATTAACACTAAATCCCGAAAGATTTTCCTCACTTATAGTATCTTAATTTTTAACAGCCCAGTGTTAATTATTCAGTCTGATTGGTCAATTACAGCGTTCTACTGGTCGTTTTTTATTTTTGTTGTAACAGACTGCTGCTATGATAATCAGACTTGGGCACAAGTTTGATTAAATCATTTGGAGGATGATATCAGTCGTATCAACATGCAGAAAGAAGTCGAAATAACTTTAACAGCAGGCAATGAAGAAAGGAGGACAGGGAAAAGAGGTCAAAGAAGATGTTTAAGAAACAAGAAGTTGTATAACAGAGATATGAACATAACTTGTGAATGCACATAAACACAACAAACACTGGGCTGTGGCAGTGTTTAGAGAGTGTTTCATGGAAAAGAAAAGTGTCAACCCACTTTGACAAGAACGGACACAAAACCTGATCAGGTGATCCTGAGTCAAGCTCCTGTTCACTTCGTCTGACTTCATGGGAAAAAAAAAATAAAAAATGTTTTTAGTGGAATTTGAATTGCTATGTTGACACGTTTTATGAAAGTGCATTTTCAACAGTGACTCTCTGTGGGATTATTGTTGAGCTGAGGGAATCTAAATGAATGATTTCCTCGGTAGGTAGCCGTAACGTACAGTGAGTGGGTTGTTAAAGAGAAAAAAACCTTCAGGAAGACACAAAACGCTGGTTTTTCTTTGGACTTTTACAACCTGCTCACTCTGAACCGTCCATTTCATAAATATCCTCAATTTCCTGTGTTTTTATTTATTTTTTAACCTTAAGAGTAAAATCACCGCAGAGAACAGAGCAGGGATGAAGGGATATAAACATGGGAAGCAAACGTTCCCTCCAGTTGGACTCAAACCAATGGATTTACTGAGGTTGATGCTTTGAAGATAGTTTTCTTATGCGGTCTAAGGGCCCGGAGGACAGCTCAGTCCTGTGCCGCTAGTGTTAATGTAAGACACTTGATTTATATTTATCGTGCAGATTGATATTGTACAGTTAGAGATATGCTGGAGGGCATGTAATGCATTTGGTTTGAATTAGTTTTTTATGTCTTAGATCAATACACTAGCACTGTAGGATATAAAAAAGAGAAAATTAAACGTACTTGGGTCTGACAGGATAGCATCCGTCTTGGGTACAAACTGGTCACAGCGGAGTCCATGGTAGCCCTCTTTACACCTGAGAGAGAAAGAGAGAGAAAAAGAAGGATATTTTGAGATTAGAAGAAAGACAAACCATGCCAGAAGATCGTACAGCATGAAGTACCATCTGAGCAGTCTTCAGATAAAGAAAGTTAAGGGCACGAAATGTAAAAAGAAGAATGAATGGCACTCATAGGACTGAGGTGGAAGACGGAGATACACAGAAAGTGTAGAGAGGGGTGGTGTGAGAAGAAAGGCAGATAGTTTGGGCATTCCTAAGCAGTGCCTGCAGCCTCACTGATAGCACATGACTGACAGGAATGCCAGGTCCCTGTGGAAGAAAATGCCGAACTGGGACTGAGAGTACTTGGCGCGATGCAGGCGACGCCAGATCTACAGTGAGGAGGGAAGCTGCCACAGTTGGAACGCTCGTATAAACAACGTCCTGGCACGGTTTAGTTATTTGCCTTCATGATCAAATGAAGATCCCTGACGCCCCCAGATCCCCCAGCAACTGTCATAAACATAACCACAGAAGTATGAAGTTTGGCCATGTCACTCGCAACACTTCAGACCATTTAAAATGCCAAAAACTTATAATTGTTATACATTATAATACAAGTAAAGTGCTGGCTTTTCAGCTAAAAACAAAATAAAAAATGTATTTTCAGAGTTAAGAGGTTTATTTTAGGTAAACTTTTAAAGTTGCACATAAATTCAGGACACAAATAAAAGTTTTTGGAGTTGTTCCTCATCCCTCATTTGGCACAATCCTCAGTAGTTTTTTTGTTGTTGTCTCAAAGAGGACTTAGGCACTTTTTATTTCCATCTTCAACAGTGGCCATACTGTGAGCACATTCAGTGGGATGATCCGCCCCTCTGCTCTCTCACGGCTTAAGGGAGACAATTGGGGGATTTGCTTTGATGTGTCTGTTTCAACATAAACTTGCACATGAGTGAGCGATATGTCAGCATTGTCTATGTTTCCCCTATTCCATCGGCCCATGACATACTGTAGGGAAACTACGGAGATTTACACAAGCACCATTATCCATCAATATATGTGTCCCCCACATTTCCACCAGTGTCGTCCAGCCCACTTGTTGTATAATGAATAGAATGAGTGATGGGTAGCTGTGGACCATTCAGTCTTACTCAGCCTGGTTTGACCCGATAGCTTGCAGGAAAAAAAAACAACAACAACACTGGCAACAACTTGGAGCTGTTTCAAACAAACTGAGCAGCAGTGGAGATCACAAGTTGTTGGTTAAGGCCAAGACACGAGTGAAAGCTGTGAAAGACTGTCATCTTTCTTTGTTTTTATTTTCTCAAGCTTCGGCTCCATTTGTTCAGTAATTTTACGCCCAATATGTGCAGTTTCTTAGCTCACTTGCTTCCTCTGTAATTGGTCTGGAACTTCACAATTGGTGAAAATGAACAGGATACATTGAACAGTCCTTTACTTTACAAACCCTGAGCTAATGGTATTGCTTAACTGTGCACGTTTACTTTAGGTGTCATTTTGTTCTGGCACATTATAACTCCCAAGTGATTAATTACTCCATCTTGGTCCATGGAAGAAGATGTTTGTTTATTGAATTTATTGAATTAGGACAGTGCACATTAATCAACATACTGGCACGACGCGTCAATGTAAATAAGACAGAAATAGCACATTAGCTGAATTTAGTCCTGAGGCAGGTAATAACAAAAAAAAATAAAACAAAGTTACAATTAAAGCACTCCTCAAAGGACAATTAACAAAACAACACAGCACAGATCAACAGATGACTGTTCATAATGAGTCTGGTTTTACTCGAGGTTTCTGCCTCTTAAAAGGACATTTTTTCCTGCTACTGTAACTTTGCTTACGTTGCTTAGTGCTCATCATGGATAATATAACAATGAGTAAGCTCTTTACCTGCTTTTTGTAAAGTGTTTTGAGGTAACATTTGTTATGAATTGGGGATATACAAATAAAGATTGATTGAGAGAAAAACTCACAGTTTAACTTACAACATGGACACAGTTAAACAGACGTACAGTTAATGGTTAACAAGTTGATGATCTATGTAAAAGCACAAATGCTTGCTTGGGTTCGAAGTCAAGAGGCATCAATTGGCTAAATAATCAAGGGACTTTAATTAAGAATACTGGAGTCTGATCATGTGGAATTTTTTAAAAATGGTTGACTGCTGGTAGTGTTAGCTATTTAACCTAATTCCATTATGTTATTGTTCGTAATTTAGCTTAATCCAAAATATTTTCCTAAACCTTACTGAATCCTTTGGTGCCTAAATGCTTCACTTTGTTTGACTGCTAGTCACTTCTTTAGACTTGTAGGTGTATTTTCTTTGCTGAAAATGGCTTCCTGTTGCTACTTAAGTCAGAGGAGAGAGAGCCAAGACAACATTTGTGGGCGAAAAATCAAAACAATGAGCTAAAAGATGACACAAATCTTAAAGAGGGAGATTGGTAGTTTTCCCTTTCACATACTATTATTAAAGATGGCCATTTGATCCATTTTTAATGTAAAACAAGTGCAGTTAACCTTTTTTTCTTTTTACATTGAAACATTTAATGACAGGTGTTACAGAAGGTGAGTTGGAAAGCTTTTAAGATCTCCCTGCTGTTAAGTGTGGTCAGCAGCCTGTCAAGCTGCAGGGCGTGATTGTTGTAACCCGTTATTTAACATTAGGTGGCTGTTGAAAACTCCCCAATTACACCTGTCATTACTGCTCAAGTGCTCATTGGATGTGTAAAAAAAAACCGATTAACTCTCAAATTTCAAACTTATTATTCCCAAAGGAATGCACACAAAAGGCTACCAAGGCAACCAAAGGAGGGGATAAAGAACCTGATTATTTATTGTCATTTTTTCTCCCACAACAGACTTCTACTTCCTAATCAGGCTAAAGAAATAAAAAAATAAAAAAACTTCCATAAACTCTCTTTCCAACTCTTTCACACACAAATAGAGTATACATGTGAAATAGTTGTGCTATAATGTTCTGCAGTTCAGCACACAGTTACAATTTACTGTGGACTGAACCTATAAACAAATATTTTGGGGTTAAAGCAAGTTCACACATTCAGCTGATGTTACTTTGTATGCAGATGATACCTTCATATAACGCCAATGAACTGAGAAGATGTTTAAAATTAAAGATACAAATGTTTTAGATGTTAAATGAAAAGGGTTGATTGAGAGAGAAGTTTGAAATCTTAAAAGGTGTTTTGAAACTCCAGGCACAGCTGGTTTTTATGTTCTTTCAGGGGAGGCTCACTTTTGCAGCTATTAGATCCCCATGATCTAATATAATAACTTTTTCTGTCCTCAAAAGCTTTAGCGGGATTGTCGTGGTCATAAAGCACACAGTATGAATCTCAGCACTGACGGGGGGAGGGGGGGAGGGGAGGGGGGGAGAAAAAGGCAAAAGCCAACATGATTTAAGTGATTGGAAAGTGTACAGTAAGTAATGCAGAGTCTCCTTTTAAAAAGTTAGCCCTAATCAGTACAGAGATATAGACCATTAAATCAGACAGAGGAATGGAATATGCAAAGGAATATGCTATATGATGCGTAAAGCAGCAGCCCAGATGACAAATGGAAAGATAAAAGATTAATTACCAAATTAAAAGTGCTAGTGTATAGGAGAAATAAAAGGGCCACAGTGGCCGAGGTTCAAGCTAAGAGATAATCACAGAAAGAGCTTACTTATCCCACAGTGATTGTAATTGTTTGACTTTAGGTTTGACCAACATTCGTGTTTCCTTGTGTTCCTTTGTTTGGTACCAAAAAAAAAAGCTAGAACTGTGCCTTTATTGTCAGCATGCTTAACTGAGTCAAACAGCCAATCATGTTCTGTAATTTCTGGGAGGAACTCGAGACAACCACTCAGATTTCAAGGGTAAATCATCCCTCCCCTCCCATTTCTTGGCTCTGGCCTACATCACACCTTCTCTCCCTGGGTGTGAGCTTAGATGCCTTGTTAGTATTCTGAATCACAAACCCAAAGGCAGAAAGTCTGTCTGGCTATCTGTTTATGTCTGGGCTTGCTTTCTGTTTGTCTACGTCTCTATCTCTCCCCCCCCCCTCTCTTCCTTCTAGCATCTTTGTAGCACTGTGAAACAAGCTCAGCCATCCTTCAATGAGATGCAAACAATGCTTTGTAAAAGTGTTTGTGCGAACGTGCCACCGAATGCCTGAATGGATGACAAACAATGTGAGATAATGACACGCTTTTGAGTATGTGTTTGGGTGTGGGTCGCAAATGGGGGGAAATAGGAGAACAAAAAGAGTGAAATTTCTGAAAAGGAACCCAGATGTTTGTGTTTTCATATTTGGATTTGGGCACATATGACAGCTTTTTCGAGTGTGTGTTTACACCCTGCAGCAGCTAGTGTTAGTACAAGCATCAGCTTTAGACTCGGAGCATGTTTTTCCGCATGGCTCCAGAGCTGTATGTGACTACCCATCTGCTTTTAACACATGTTCCAGCCACAGAGAAAACACACCTCTGAGTCTGGAGGATGACAGAGGGGTGGGGAGTGCTGCCTCACAGCTAATCACCATCCTGCCTGCTAATTACTGCTAAGAAAAATGGGGGATAGTTTAAGCCTAAGGGGAGGGAAAAGAGGTTACAGGAGGAGGGGAAGGGACAGGGATGTGAGCATGTCAAGCAAGCTTTTCATTTACCCTCTGATGCAGGAACATATTTGCTTCCACATGTCCAATAAAATAACAGCATATGAGCTGTTACTGATGAGGCAGAGGGGAGGGCGCTGATTGGAAGTGCAGAACTGCTCCCAGAGGGTTGAGCACTTGCTGAACTCATCACCATCAGACTCCTGTTTTTGTGGCACAATATCTAGTGGTCATTAACAGTATTAAAAAGATAATTTTACAGAATATAGAAAATAAGGAATTTTTCCCACAATGTTTTCACCATGTGTTAAAAAGACAAAAGTTTATTTGCAGGTTTTTGCTCCTTAGCCAGGCTAGCGGTCTCCCGCTCTTTCCTGTCTTAATGCTAG